GTTCCTACCAAACCCATTTTGTGGAAGGTTTTTTTAAAAAATCATGAATAGATGTTGTACTTTGTCAAATGCTTTTTCTGTATCTATTGAAATAATCATGGTTTTTATCCATTCTCTTATTCATATGATGTATTATGTTGATTGATTTGCAAATATTGAATCACTCTTATATCCCAGGAATAAATCTGTCATGGTGAATGATTTTTAAATGTATTGTTGGGTTTGGTTTGTTAATACTTTGATGAGGATTTCTGCATCTATGTTCATCAGAGATATTGGCCTGTACTCTTTTTCTGTAGCATCTTTATCTGGTTTTGATATCAAGGTAATGCTGACTTCATAGAATGAATTTGAAAGCTTTTCTTCCTCTTCTATTTGTTGGAATTGTTTGAGAATAAATATTAATTCTTTTTTAAATGTTTGGTGGAATTCACCTGAGAAGCCTTCTGGTCCCAGACTTTTGTTTGTTGAGAGTTTTTTTTTATTACTGATTTAATTTCATTGGTGGTAATTGGTCTGTTTTCAAATTTTCTAGTTTCTCCTGATTCAGTTTTGGAAATTTATATGTTTCTAGGAATTTATCCATTTCTTCTAGGTTGTCCAATTTGTTGGCATATAATTTTTTGTAATATTCTCTTATAATTGTATTTCTGTATTGTCAGATGTTATATCTCCTCTTCATTTCTGATTTTATTTGAGTCTTCCTTCTGTCTCTCTTTCTCTATGATGAGTCTGGCTAAAGATTCATTGATTTTGTTAGTCTTTCCAAAGATCCAGCTTCTAGTTTCATTGATCTGCTCTATTGTGTGCTTAGTTTCTATTTTTTTTTTCTCCCCTAACCTTTATAATTCCTTGGGTCTGGGTTTTGTTTACTCTTTGTATAGCTCCTTTAGGTATAAGGTTAGGTTGTTTACTTGAGATTTTTCTTGCTTCATGAAGTAGGCCTGGATTGCTATAAATTTCCCTTTTGTAACAGCTTCTGCTGCATCCCAAAGATTTTTGACCACTGTGTTTTCATATTCATTTGTCTCCATGTTTGTTTTTTTTTAATTTCATCTTTGATTTTTTGGTTGTTTAGCAGCATGTTATTTAACCTAAATATATTTGTGGTCTTCCCAGATTTTTTTCTTGTGGTTGATTTCTAGTTTTATAGTGTTGTGGTTGGAAAAGATGCATGATACAACTTCAATCTTTTTGAATTTGTTGAGACTTGCCTTGTGGCCTTATATGTGATCTATTCTGGAGAATGTCACATGTGCAATTGACTTCTGCTGTTTTAGAATGAAATTTTCTGAATATATCTGTAAAATCCATCTGGTCCATTGTATCATTCAAAGCCACTGTTTCTTTGTTGATGTTCTGTTTGGATGATTTATCCATTGATGTAAGTGGAGTCTTAAAGTTTTCCTACTATTGTTGCATTACTATAAATTACTTCCTTTATGTTTGTTATTAGCTGCTTTATGTATTAGGGTGCTCCCATGTTAGGTACATAAAAATCTACAATTTTTTATGATGCTTTGTTAGACACCATACAGTACCTCCTTTGTTTTTGATTTAGTGTTTCATGATTCATTGTTTGTATGAATGGAGCACCCAGTGCTCCATGCAATTGTTCTATCTTCTTATTGGATTCATCCCTGTATGGTTATATAGTGTCCTTCTTTATCTCTTGTTACAGTCTTTGTTTTAAAGTCTATTTTGTATGATATAAGTATTCCTATCCCTGGCTTTCTTTTCACTTCCATTTGCATGATAAATGCTTTTCCATCCATTTATTTCCAATCTCCATATGTCTTTAGGTCTAATATGATTCTCCTCTAGGCAGCATACACAAGGGTCTTGCTTTTTTATCCATTCTGTCACCTTATGTCTTTTGATTGGAGTGATTAGATGTATTTTGAATATAAGAGACACAGTCTCCAAGCCTAGGAGCTTTGGAGTTGGGGAATACTATGTGAGATAAGATATGGAATGAGTTCAATAAAAAGTGAAATCTCTTTTGACATGTAGGAAAATAAATATGGAGCATAAATACGTATTTCCATGCATGTGCTATATATATTGGTCTGAGATTCTATTCCTGAAAAAAATACATTTCATAAGTTAAAGAGTCTTAAAAACTGCTTTAAAATGACATAGTTAGGGGTCACCTGGATGGCTCAGTGGGTTAAACCTCTGCCTTCGGCTCGGGTCATGATCTCAGGGTCCTGGGATCGAGCCCCACATCGGGCTCTCTGCTCAGCAGGGAGCCTGCTTCCCTTTCTCTCTCTGCCTGCCGCTCTGCCTACTTGCGATCTCTCTCTGTCAAATAAATAAATCTTTGAAAAAAAAATAAATAAAATGACGTAGTTAGAAACAGATTGTGTATAACCACTTTCAGGTATGATGTTTTCCCAGTAAATCAGTATTACTTCATTCATTATTAGAACTGAAAATTTGCTGGAAGAATGATTGATTAATTGATTGATTTCTTACTTAGCTACCTACTTACACTAAGAGCCCTTTAAATACAAAGCTTTGAGCTCAACCCAATCTTTAAGATCATTTAAGAATCTATGCACTTATCCAGTCCTACTGTCATTACTAAAAATGCTTTGACAACTGATCATCAGGAATAGCCTACAATATGATTTATCATTTATACATTGTTAGATTTCTAACTTTAGCATTGAATTATTTATTGCAGTATCATGTATTCGTTATTTTTATCCATACTGGCAAGATAATTTTAAATTGATTCTGCCACTTCTCAAAAATGCATTTATGTTTTTTTAATCACTTATATTTAAAAGGTAATATAATCCTTGAAGCCACTGAAATCTAAACACTTGAAGAAGACCTCCCAGATGTTTGTATAATAGCAATAGGATCACATTTGGTGAAAGTCTGCCAAAGTGAATTGCTTTAAAGAGTTTGTATCAGTAATCATTGCTGTATTTTTTTTTAAATCAGATTTATTAACTTATGTGTCATAATTTATATGTCTCTTAGAATAACTTATTTTCCCTTACTGTTTTATTTCCTGTTACACCCCCATCTTGATTTCCCCATCATACAATGTTGACAATGCTCTTCTTTTTTTTTTTTAAGATTTCATTTATTTATTTGACAGACAGAGATCACAAGTAGGCAGAGATGCAGGCAGGGGTGGGGCAGGCTCCCTGCTGAGCAGAGAGCCCTATGCAGGACTCGATTCTAGGACCCTGAGATCATGACCTGAGCCAAAAGCAGAGGCTTAACCCACTGAGCCACCCAGGCGTCCTGATAGTGCTCTTCTTTACATGTGTTACAGAAGTAAATCCTATAGTAGTTTCATTTTCATTGATCACATCACTGTTAGGAGAAAATTAAGGTTGTCTCAAACACTCTTCTTCACAAAAGGATGCCAAAAGTCAGTCACTGCAATCTTAGAAGGCTACATGGTGCATGAAAATGATGCAGCGTATTTGTAATGATTATATATAATAATATGCATTAGTGTATACATGTTTATAAAAATATACACACAAATCAATCTATCAATCTATTCATATTTCATCTATCGTCTATCTGTGTGTGATGATAAAACAAGGTAACCATATAAAAAAATGTCATGAAATTAGGAGCTACCTTCTACAAAAGGGGGTATGAGACAAAAAAAATACATAAATATAATTACGTTAACTACAAATACAACAGTAAATTCAGGAATATTCTTTCCTTATGCCCCCAAACATAATTTCCAAACAGTAAATAGAATTATTTTATCAATTATGATTTATATTTAATTTTCTAAAAATTTTTTGGGGACAAGATTAAAGGAAGGAAAGCAAAAAGCTTCAGAATAAGGGAAATTTTGATGCAATTTAATAGTTAAAACTGTATGATTATAGGTGGAGTACAAAAGTTCTTATATTTTTTGCATTTTCTAAATTGTCTATATTGAACATATTTTGAACATCAGAGGAAAATAAAAATAAATATAAAGCCTACCTTATAAATAGCTATCTTTTATTTTGTGTTAATGTATCTGCATTCAACAAAGAAAAAACATTTTAAAAGATGAGTGGATTGGGAGGGAGACAAACCATAAGTGACTCTTAATCTCACAAAACAAACTGAGGGTTGCTCGGGGGAAGGCGGGGAGGGAGGGGGGGGTGGGGTTATGGACATTGGGGAGGGTATGTGCTAATGTGAGTGCTGTGAAGTGTGTAAACCTGGCGATTCACAGACCTGTACCCCTGGGGATAAAAATATATTATATGTTTATAAAAAATAAAATTAAAAAAAAAAGATGAGTGGATATTTTGTATAAGACAAGTCATTCTTTTTTATGTATTTTAAATAATTAATTAACTAAATTGAGAAAGAGAGAGAGAGTGTGTGTGTGCAAGCAGGAGGAGAAGCAAAGGGAGAGGTACAAGCAGACTCCATGCTGAGTGTGGAGACTGATGTGGGGCTTGATCCCATGACCCTGAGATCACAACCTGAGCTGAAATCAAGAGCCAACCCAGGCACCCCTAGAGAAGTCATTCTTTTTTTTTTTTTTTTTGTTAAATTTTTATTTATTTGACAGAGAAAGATCACAAGTAGGCAGAGAAACAGAGAAGCAGGCAGAGAGAGAGAGAGAGGAGGAAGCAGGCTCCCCGCCAAGCAGAGAGCCCGATGTGGGACTCGATCCCAGGACCCTGAGATCATGACCTGAGCTGAAGGCAGAGGCTTAACCCACTGAGCCATTAGGTGCCCCTAGATAAGTCATTATTAAAGGAATACTCCACATGACAGAACACTTTGAACTTCTGTACTTCTCTCAGTCTGACTTGGGTAATTCAATAAAAAGATGACCAATGGCCTAGTACATCTATTTATGTCTTCATATCTCAGTTGCAGCTATTCCTTTTTTGTATATGTGTATATTTGAGATCTAAATCTGTATAGGAAATATTAATGAACTATTAATTTTTATTTCTAGAATAATACTTTTTGGTTGTTTTTATTGTTGCATGTCTTCTTCCTAGGGAGATTATGGTGGCCCACTTGTTTGTGAACAACATAAAATGAGAATGGTTCTTGGTGTCATTGTTCCTGGTCGTGGATGTGCCATTCCAAATCGTCCTGGCATTTTTGTCCGAGTAGCATATTATGCAAAATGGATACACAAAATTATATTAACTTATAAGATACCACAGTCATAGCTGATGGAATTTTGTCTGAAGCTTCAATCAATAGAATTCTATTTTACATGAAGATTTCGGAGAACATGGAATTAAAATGTCACTTAAAGCAATCCTAAGACAACTACTTGAGTGTCATGTTTGTTAAGATACTCATTAATATTTATGGGTGTTTTCTGTTGTTTTGTTTGTCAGTGTTATTTTGTAAATGTTGAAGTGAATTAAGGTACATGCAAGTGTAGTAACATATCTCCTGAAGATACTTGAATGGATTAAAAACTGCAAAGGTATAATTGCTAGATGATAAAAGATTTATGGAAAAGTTCAATTAATCTCTCTACGCTGCTTTCCAAGGTTAGTTTATGAATAAACTGTAAGTTAAACATTATTTTAACCTCACGAAGACAATTTATACCTTTGTCCTTAACTTGTAACTCTATATTAAATTATATTACCTTTCATATGTCATACATTATATTTCATTCATTTCTCTTCACTGTGTACCCTCTAATACTGGTCCATATGCTTCCTACAAAATCATGTGCCCAACTATGCAGACCTGGGTACACATGTGCATGCACTAGAGTTCAAATCATGGTATATCTAATGTAACCTCTAAATATTCTGAAAGTGTGTTCCTGTAGTTTTTCCTTAAGAGAAAAAGAGAAATTTATAAAGACCAGTAGAAATTTCAAGGAAAGGAGAAAGAAAGAAGTGACCAACTCATTCTGTATATGTAATCTGCAGATGACCTCTCTACTGGTTGACATTTAAGGTGTGGGCATGACCCACAAAGTTAAGTAACACCTAATCTATGTGTTTAACTGTATTTATCATCCTAGTCATTGTGTAGTTTCTAATTCTTAAAGGGAAGAGGGTTATGTGTATTAGTATTATTTCTTTCTTTTAAATTTAGGGACCCTTATTTATGCAAAATATTTTTAGATCTACTTTCCTAAAGTATTTTCCTTATTATTCTTAGGTAATTGTCTAACTGAAGCTTAAAAAAGTACTTAAGTAGGTTAATTCTAAGACTTGCTGCTGTGATTGGCTTGTAGCTCATCTTCTTTAAATTTTTAAAAATTATTTCAGAGGAAAATTTCCATGTTTCCAAAGATTTGTAAATAGACTTTCATCAAACTAGGAATTAAAGTATATATTGAAGAAAAAAAACAGGATACATATCTCAACCTAAAAGTTTTTTAGCCTAATGAAACTTCACTCAAGTAAAGGAAAAAAAAAATGTAAAAGGAAAGGAAAGGAACTAGCTTGTCTAAACTGACTTCAATTATTTTCTAAAGGGGAGTTAATCTGCAGAATGAAATATTTTATGAAAATTTCTCCATTTTATCTTATTTCATTTTACATAAATCTTTCAAATGCCAAGGGGAATATTCGTTCAAATTTTGTATTGTCTCATAATGCAAAAATATCATATTTGTTATTGTATTTGGCATGATCAACTAAAAATCCTGTATTTGTCAAGAAATGAGACAAGGTCTAATAGGATAGGCTGTGAATTTTCACAAAATCACCTTGTACAAATTTAAAAATAATTTTTTGAGTGATTCCAATCCAGTATTCCCATTTTTCTAATTTGTTTCTCTTGAATGATATCAATTAAGACCAGAGATCCAAACAATGCTCAACGCTTCATAGGACACTGTTCAATCTTGAGTAAAACGCTCTTAAATTTACTTGAAAGTTTAGTCCAGAGAGTACAGCAGAGCAAATCCAGAAATAACTATTCAAATCCAGAATATCTATCCAAATTGTGCCATACAAATTGAACATATTATAATAAAATATGTTTTGATATCAAGAAACAGTGAAAGTAAAGAAAGATCTAAAAAGTGGTCAGTCCACATTATCTTCTTTGATTATATTTTTCTTTCCTTATGTGATATATCATTTTAATAAAAACACTAGAAATTTCAAAGGTATATTGTCCCCAAATTAAAGAACTTTTCAGTTTTTTTCTCGAAATGGTAAAATTTGATTAAATCATATATTAATGATATTTGTAAAACATTTATGAAATTCTAATATATCTAAATACTCACATTTTAAGATATTTCTTTCTTGTCTTTTTTCTAAATTTCCATGGAAAGAGAAATAGGAATAGATACAAGATGCAGCTAACTTTTTAGATATTTTGAACTCAATGTTTTCCATTCTATTTCCATTTTATAAATGTTTTCCATTTATTTCATTTTATTAAAACATACCACCAATAAAACATCAGACATGGTGCACAAAGCAGTCCTAGCTTTGAAAAGTTCCCTTTGTAATAAGAGGAGATCAGTACACTTGACAGTAAAAGCAAGATGAACAAGATCCATGCAATTTTAGGTGGTAAGACAATGAATAATCATGTCATTTTTCTCTGGAGAAAAATACTATTTCCTGATCATTCTTTTCTTAATAAATGACAAGAAATGAAAACTACAACTTATCCAAAATCCATTGTATTTTGAGTAATGGACAAACAGATCTTTTAATCTAGAAGTTTCAATGTTATTTTTTGTTTGGGCTGTTTGAATAATGGTTATGTGCTGTTGTAATTGTGGACATTTTCTTATGTCTGCCAGGAATAGTAACATAAAATTAAAATATTTGTCATAATGCCTCTGCCGTGCAGAAGGGATGATAATCCTTTTGTATACTTCTTTAATTTTATTGTAAAATATGTAATGAGTTTTACCTATTTGCTGTGGGCAGGTCCTCAGTAAAATGGTTTATATTGAGTCAGTCTCTAGCATTAATAGGCTCTTGCTTGCTATCTAAGTGTTTCAAACTATGGGAAATGTGAGACACTGGAAGGCAAGAAAAATAAACAATAATGGCATGTGATAGCAAAATTGTATTTCACTTATTCCTGTGAATATTTCTTGTTGGTACCAATGGTACTATACAAAGTGAATGTTATAGCCACAACATTCTCTTAGGGAAAAAAAAAAAAAAAAAAAAAGCACTGTCAAGAAGTAAGAAACTGTTGTCAGCATTTTGTTCTTGTTTTTAAATATTTTCTTTCTTTTTTAAAAGAGATACTAGTACTGCAATATAGAAATCATGAGGTAAAGAATTTTAATAAACTCTCATACTAAAAAAATTTAAATTGATAGTAAATCAAGTTTCCACATATCACATTTAATTTTACCCCATATTTATAGACAAACTCATTTGAATGATAAAGTTAACTTGAATAAAAAGACATAGTCTATGTGTAAATACTTTACACAATGAAGTTCAAAAAGAAGTTCTCCTTCAATGTTCAACTGAGTTTCATACTAAGAATTTACTAATACAAAAAAAAAGTTAAAATTTTCTGGTCCCCCAAACCTTGACAGTGTAAATTTAAGTAGGTTCATTTCCATTTGCACAGAAAGTTTCTGTCTTTAGGAAACTGAAAATGGAATACTGTGGATGTTATGACTGTTTGTCTTGGTGTAAATAGGAAATTGATAAGCTGCCTATAGAGTGGTATAGCTGGATGCTTACCCAAAAAGGGAACACTGTGGTTATGACTTGTATATAAAGTTTCTGTAGTTAATAAAGTTGCTATTTTTATAACCATGATTATATTATTGTTATTAATAATAATAAAAATATTTTATCAAAATGCTTCCTTTCTCTTATTAAAGTTATCTACATGGACATGTTTGAATCTGCTCTAGGACTTAATGCAGAAAACAACAAGGATCATACTGACAGAAATTACATATACTTTGTTGCAAGAAATACTAGAACTAAGACAAATAGCCATTATTTTTTTCCAGCTTCTATCCATGGCATTATCAGTGGTCTTCGCTAAACCATTAATCTCCATGCACTTTGATTTCTCCCACTGTAATATACAATTATTTAGTTCTTTTCGTATTTGCTAGAATGGTGCTGTGATATAACTTGCTAATATAGGCAAAATATTGTCATGAAGGATCATCTAAATTCCCTTACCATTACCACTATGTATCACAAAAGTAATTGTAAATGATCCAATTAATCAATTAATCAATCTATACCTCTTTAAAATAATCATTAAATTCAGAATAAATGTGAATCCAACAGACTCACCTAATTCAAATTGAAAGCAAGCTTGGAAGAACAAATTATTAATTGATCTAACCCAACAGAACTCTATAACACTATTGATTATTTCAAGTTATATTGTCTCTTCCCCAAAAAAGTTGCACTATTAATTTTCTGGCATAGATACCTATCTCGGTTGATGATTAATATATCTAACTCTAGACCTTTGATAGTATCTTCTCTTCCTAATGATTATTATCTAAGTAGAATAAATGCATTTATTCAGTTATGGTATCTATATTTCTGGTAGCAGTATCAAAGAATTTTTAAATACATATATTGATGATTTTTCTAAATTTTCTCTTTTTCTTCTTTTTTTAAAGGACTCTATTCCATTCTAAACATATAGTCTGCTGTTTTAAGTCGAATACTCCAGGAAAGGTTCTCTAAGAGATGGTATTTGAGCAGGCATGAAAGAGCAAGCTAGGTAAATATGGGGTCTAATAAATAAAACTTAGACAATATTTTTGTTGGTTTCTTATTATAGTTTATTTATTTATTCTTATAAATTGTAATGCTTTAATTACCCCATTTGTCAAAGTCCTGAATAGAATCAACTAAGTTTGCATTCCCTCAAAGTTTTAGTCCAGAAGTTTCATTGCTATTCTATTTCACTATTTTCTGACACAGGCACCAGCCTTAATCTATACAACCCTAAAAGTGCTTTCTATGTCATTTTACCAAATTGAAACCCTTTCATTAAAATCCAGATTAAAAGTGTTATACTACACAGTCTATATCTATCTATCTATCTATCTATCTGGTTCTTTATATTTACAAATATCTCAACTGCATGTGTTGCTTAGGAGAGCCAAAATTTAAAAGTAACTTCAATATAAAAAGAATATTTGTAGTAATTTGGTTAAAGTTTATAGTCCTATGAAGAATATGTTATTGCCTGAAGCACATCTAAGCAAGACAGAAAATGCTGAGCAAAGGAAATAATTCAAAAGAAGTGTGTGATTATAGATTATATATATATTATTTTATGCTTTTAAAAAAGATAGAGAAGAACATCAAAACAAAACAAAACCTATCAGTCTGACCTAATAGCTAATTCCAAACTGACTTTGGGCCCTCATTTCTCTCAAATACTCCTGAACACCAGTCATTTTATTTTCATTATTTTATTTCACTTCATAAATGTCTTCACTTTTAAACTTCATGCCATGGGACACCTGGGTGGCTCAGTAAGTTAAGCCTCTATCTTTAACTCAGGTCATGATCCCAGGGATCTGGGATCCAGTCCCAGGAAGGGCTCCCTGCTCAGTATGGAGCCTGCTTCTCCCTCTCCCTCTGCCACTCACCCTGCTTGTGCCCACCCCCCCCAAATAAATAAATAAAATCTTTAAAAAAGAGTAAACGTCATGCCTGTGTTCAAACATTCCTTGTGAATACCAAGCTTCTCTTTAATACCCTCAGCCTTTAAATGTCACATAATTTCTCTTGGGAATCCATCCTCAACACCTTTTATCTAGAAGTCATTACTTTTCCAGCTCTAGGCTGGGTTTGCTGATGGTTCCTTTCCATTTGTTATCAGAGTCTTCCTATGACTGCATGAGATTTATTTTGTTTTGTTTTGTTTTATTCTGTTTTGTTTTTAAAGATTTTATTTATTTATTTGTCAGAGAGAGAGAGAGAGAGAGAGTGAGCGCACGCATAAGCAGGCAGAGTGGCAGACAGAGGAGGAGAGAGAAGCAGGCTCCCTGCAGAGCAAGGAGCCCAATGTGGGACTCTCTCCCAGGACCCTGGGACCATGGCCCAAGCCAAAGGCAGCGGCTTAACTGACTGAGCCACCCAGGCGTCCCTATTCGGTTTTGTTTTTAACGTGCAAACTGCCTCCACCCAGTTTGAGCTGCTCGGAGACATAAGCAATGTCTTGTTATTAATATTTGTATATTCTTTATTTTGCACAGTGGTTCACCTGCTATGATACTCTATGGATATTTTACAATTATTAGTATTCTATAAACCACCCTTTTTTTGAAGGTTTATCAGTATTACACAGAGATGTGCAATTTTTGTAAAAATTAGGCAAATCTCAGTAAGGATTAAGAATTTTAGGGTTTCATATTTAGATTTGA